CGCTCTCGCTCCCAGTCCTGCCATTCCTGTGTTTTCATAGGACTCTCCGACTTAGTTCGGATTGGGCATGCACTCGTGACCAGACCGCAAGAGCTTTTACGACTTTTTACTTTCAATTTTTTATCATTTATATTGTTCCATTATCACACGAGTCAGGGCTGCTCAAAACTTTTCCGAAGCCCGGGAGGGAGGGCTACTCGTTGTATCGAGGGTTCCTTTTATGCTCAATTATTACTGCAACAATACAATGGCTACCGCACCGTCAAAATCGTCCTTAGCCTCGAAGAAGGCAGTACTTGTATCCATAAATGATTCAGAAGTTCTTCGCTTTGGTCGCTTTCGTCTTGCATACGATGATAATACTAACATAGGATCCATATCACTGACATTGGAGGCAAACATCGCTAATTTGAGCGGTAGATCACAACTGGTCTTGAGAATTTCTCCAGAATCAGTTCAAGAATGCACATTAGCCATGCCAAGCAACGTCAGTCTCTTCCCAAATGAATGGATTGATTTACTTCCCGCACATGTTCCAAGTATCAAGGACGTGATAACACTGAGTCTCACACTTGATACACCTGGCTCTGTTTACTGTCAACCTGGGATAGAGCATTTATATCCAGCTGATCCGCTGGACTCGAATTTCGGTATATTCGCAAAGATCTGTAAATCCAGGTTTTTGAACATTCATTTCTCTACACGACAATTCAAGAGAAGCGGAGTGGCTCCGCTCACAACTTTCTCTGTTGCCTTACAGGAAAAGTGTGTTCAGGAAGACCCTTTTGAATGTGCACGCCAGAAGGTTGTCAAGAGAGATTGGCGTGTCTTCGGTCTCTTTACCGAACCACCCCCTTACACTGATGGACCTACATTCAACCAAGGGCAGCAATCAAGTCCACCTTTATACTCTGAAGGTTCCAAATCCACGCCAGTGGTCAGAAAACGCTACAGAGGTATTTCTCCTCCCATTGTCCTCTATATTCCGACCTTCAACAGCTCATCAACTTTATTTAGACCAAGGGTCAATTTCCCGTGACGAATCTGATTCCGATGAGAGACAAAAGAGACCGCGTTTTTCATCCCCATCGTCAGTCGGCTGTCCTACGGAAGTTAACACGCCGAGTACCCAAACATTTGCATCCTCATCGCCCGGCTCACCTACCGAAGCGAATACACCGAGTATACTCTCGCACTCACCGTCCTCAATTCGTCCAACTCAATTTACGTATGCTCTAGACCGCGAGAATCTTGAGCGTATTGCACAAAGGCTCTGCGGTGTTTCTGATGATTCAATCCGTGAAGTGTTAATGCAATCTGGACACCGGCATCTGCTGGCTTCACCGGGAGGCATAGCAATCAACTCGCGGTCTGAGTCTAGGAATAGTGGCTCTGCCAAGGCCAAGTGCCGTATCCGCCACTATATCCGACAATATGTTGATGTCATGATTGATACTCGCGTTATGCCATATATCGGCCACACTGTCAAAACTGCTATTTCTGAGGCTGCTGATCAGATTCTTGATCTCGGAAAAACGAAAGAAGCCGAAGTCTGTGAGCTGATCGACGATGGCATTACTGAGATACAGATTAAGGCTGATGAGTGTTCACGGGAAATAGAAGACATAACAGAAAAATGTACGTATAGAATCGAAGATCAAGGAGAACAGTGCATGAATGATGTTGAGAGGAAGGGAATCGAGGTTGAAATGGCTGTGGACGAAAAGGTAGCGAAGTTTAAGCGCTGGTTGAGTGCTCCTGCGCAGCCCTTGGTTGATGAGTTGGATACTAATTCTAGACGCAATTCTATCTAGGTATGGCTCGATCAAATGTCTACTCATCATGTACTGACACCTAAATCTGGGCGACATGCAGATCTTGTAAGATAAATTGGGAATCTCGTTCATTGCCATATGACTTCCTTGAGATTTTTAGGGCTTCGTCAGAGTTTGTGTCGGTGGGTGTCTGTTTATGTTTCGCCGCCCTCGTGGCGCATTACTCCAGATTTCTGCGGATGATTCAGCGAGATCCAGTGTCCATCTGAAGGTATTAGTGTGTGGCAGGATATTTATATCCTGCTGTGAGAACCTGTGATACTTGTTAGTCACAGTGATCCTTGCCGGAACATCAATTTGTTCGAGCTCCGAGTGAGAACGTGGAGCGCACATACACTTATGCATGGCGCCTCACTCCTTTTCGTACCAATGCTGCTAAATTGCAAGCATCTGATTCAATGTTGGAACTATGGCATCTGGAATCTATCTGACAGGAAACATTAGCGAGTTCAATAATCCATAGCCAGGTTTTATGAGGCTTAGATTTTCCCTAGCACTTCTTTCCCCATTACAAGCAAGCAAACTATTGTCATGAGTTCTCAGCCTAACTGGCCTGCAATCGCGTCCGTCCTCGTGCCCGATTCCTGATCACGATAAAGGGCCATATAGGGCATCTCATTATTTTTCTATTTTAATGAATACAAAAAGAGCCAAACCGGCCCGCTTTTTCATCGTACCATGGGAAGCAGACCGACACTGTACGCAATGCTGGCTCTGTGTGTTACAGCTGCTTGTTTTAAGGATGGCTATGAATCAGGAATCGCTTAAGTCTACAATACCGTCACTAAATCCACGCGAGCTATCTAGATACGAAAGCTATAAGACGACTTCTGGGGGACAAAGAAGTGGACCCGAACTTAAAGGACTGTCGCAATTGCACACCCCTTCTTCTGGCCGCGGCTATCGGAGTTGCGGAAGTCGTGAAATTGTTCCTCGGAAGTGCCAAGGTGGATGTGAACTTGACCGGCGGCCCAGATAATGAGGCTCCATTAAATCTAGCCGTGCGACAGGCTCCCGAGGATGCGACAGCATGCTTACTTACGCATGATCGAGTGAACGTGAACTCACGGGACCTCCATAATCGAACGCCTCTCCACCTAGCTGCGCAACGTGGAGTATCATTGCTCGTGGAACTTCTCCTCGAGTAGGAAGTGAACGTGAATTTGACGGATGACAGCGGTGAGACACCGTTATATTCAGCAATCTGTCAAAATCACACAGCAGTTGTGAAATTGGTCCTTGAAGACAGAAGGGTGATCGTAGATACTGAGACCTTGGAAGGGTGTTCAACACTGGAAGCAGCTACATGTCAAGGTGCGGGAATGTTGGAGCTTTTTCTCCGCAAGGCGGAATCAGGCGTGGACAGTAGAACAGTAGCTTTCCACGATGCTCTGAAGGCTGCTGTCATGCGGAATGATATGGCAGCCGTGTGGTTACTTTTTGAGGCAGCGAAACCAAGGTGTGCTTGCTCGGTAATTTCTTAACATAGCAGTCCACGCAATGAAATTCACTCAATTGAACCGACAAACCACAATTCAACTAATTCTCGATCCTCTATTACTTCAAGCATGAATAATTGATTAAGAGGTTATACTACATTATGTGTTCCAAGACTTGAACTACACCAGCCGCTGTCTGGTCCTGATCAAAATTGATTCGTTATGGTTATTTTGTCACGAGCACGGGCGGTCTTGAGACCGCAGGTAAACGGCTGTTTAAATTCAGCTGGTTCGTGAAAATACGGAAGACCACGTCGGATTTGAGATCTATGTGCTTTTGTAAGATCCAATGCCTGGTGGCTAGAGCACATACTATCTCATTGGCCATTATCACATAGGTAGAGCTCTGGTCTCGGTACACAGCCTCGAGTGTCGGCAACGTAGAGCGGGAAGGCAGTAGCTGACTTCAAAGCCTTGTTCCACTGACGAGCGTCATCAATCAACCCGAGCGGGGGCAGGGCATCTTCTCTAAGCTCAAAGGATTCATCAAAGCCGCTTTACCTGTTCGCGATGGAAGGAAATTTCCGTTCGGTTTCACGCTCCATCCGCTCCTCGTCTAGCTGTTAACTACGTTTCCTAGACTAGTGCCTGAAGATCATGCGATCGTTGCCATGCGAGTGTGGGACTGTGTAATCTTTTTCAATGTTCGCATATAAATAGCCAGCGCGAAGCTGTCTAACAATCGCTCTTCATCGATTTGGTGACTTTGAAGTACCACATATCAAGCCCAGCAACGCCTGGCTGTTTTCGATAATCCTATTACCTTGGCCACCCATCAGCAACTTCGCGACTGAAACCATATACCATGTCCTTAGTCCGTTTGCCTACAGAGCTCATGTATATGATTGTCGTTTCTCTTGACTTTCAGCATGATATCAATTCCCTGGCCCGGAGCTCTCGGCAATTGTATGCCATCCTCAACCCATACTTATACCGGTACAATTCAACACAACATAAGAGTTCGGCTCTGATTTGGGCTGCTAAGCACGGCGAGAAGGCTACTATTTGCAGATGCATTGAGGAAGGGGGCGATGTCGAAACCACAGACAATGGAGGCACGACACCTTTATATTTGGCAGTCGAGAATGGGCATGCGGATGTCGTGAAGTTATTACTTCAAGCAGACGCAAAAGTCAATGGAAGATCACGGGGAGGAGAGACAGCCCTGCATGCGGCTTCAAAATATAATAGGGCAAATATGGTCGACTTGTTGCTTCAAGAGAGGGATGTGGATGTGAACGCCTCAAGGAACTCGGGCTTTACGCCCTTGAGTTTGGCTTGCATCCACAGTCATTTAGCAGTTGCAATCCGGCTGCTCGCAGACAAACGGGTGAACGTCAATGCTCCCGATATCAGAGCAGAAACTCCTTTACATTATGCCGTACTTCGAGACGACACAGCAATGGTCAAATTACTTATCGAAGACTTGAGAATTGAGGTCAACCAGGCAGAGGAGTGGCACGGAGATACTGCACTTCATCTTTCTTCATTCTATGGCTTTACAGAAATAACAAGCATTTTGCTTGAGCATGAAAAAGTACACGTGAATTCGCGAGATAAAGCAAATCGAACGCCGCTTCACTTGGCTGCGCATTCGCGCAGGACGGCAGTTGTTGAGCTTCTACTCAGAAAAAACGAAGTCGATTTGAATGCTCTAGATTCGAATGGGCTAGATCCGATTGGTATGGCTCGAGAGTCTGGTGACATGAATATCGTCAATCTGTTGCAAGCGAAACGGAATTCTTCATCGAAGCTTGACTTACAGTGAGAATGGCTGGAGACTCGGCCTTGGAGAATCTAAGACAGGCTTCTGGGCGCACTGAGGGAAAAACGTCTTACTTCATTCATTGCTGTTTATGGATCAAATTCTAGTTATGCCTGCGGACCTACTCATATGTCTTTAGTGAACAGAAACCAAAAATAGGAATACTTCAATTCACTGCTGTCAGCATCGCAAGCCTCTTAATCAAATTCTTGAAGCTATAATTATGGCATTCTAATTGACTTGAATCATTGATGAGGTGAGTAATCAACAGCCGATTTTCAAATGGTCGAGATGTTACGAGCACTTTTCCCAGCTCTCAAAGCAAGCAGGTATTGTCATGGGTTCTCATTCTCAGTCTGACGAGGCTGCAATTGCTAATCGTTCTCAAGTCCGAATCTTGATCTCTTTAAGGGGAGTAAAGAAGGAAATGCCATTATGTGTCTAATTCGAGTAGCACAAATGGATAAAAGGGGGTCCACTTCTTCGCGGTACTACGGCGCACATAAGGACACTTTGCGCAATACTGGTACTATACCTCACAGCTACTTGTCCAAAAGTGGTTATTCGGCAAGCTTTCTATAGGGTACTAGATCAGGTTGAACGTTGTAGGCCGGTGGTACCTGGAATAAAGGCAATTGTGCAAAATATAGCAAATCTTTTTAGGCGTAGAGGGCTACTCAACACTCGGCGGCCTGAGACTTGTTCGCATCTTATATCTGTTCTCAAGCCCTTTGTACTTGAAATAGTGCAAGATTATAATTGTGTGGCCTCCTCTGGAGTAAAACAGTATATGGCGGTGTTCTACATGCTTTCTTGGTTTGGTTAAGGCTGCCCAGAAGCGTCGCAAATTGCATGCGGAAGAAAAGGCATGATAATGATGAGGTCCAAATGAAATCGCTGCCCTCAGTCAAAATAGAATAGGAGTCAAGTATGATCTTACACCGATGCTGCAAAAGAATAGAAAATTGAAAAATACAGGAAGCCTCAATTTGAGGCCTCTCTAGAATGCTCATGTACGTTGGTCCTCCTGCATTTAAGAGTGCAGGATACCCATTTCCATGGCTGGTCGTTCTTGAACTCACTTATAGTGAGGTAAACGACACATTGCCATGTCGATGACCAGTCTCAAGTCTATCTGCATTGCGCTTGCAGTGCTTGGGGTAAGTTCAAGGCTCAAATACATTGACTATATTGACTGACAAATTCAGATGGCTAACGCATTAGATTACAAATATTACAAAGCAGAGAGTGGCGAGACGGTAGGTCTCTATGGGTTCGCGGAGCGAAAATCACGTCTGAATTCTACCTCTAGTTTCTGGATGTTCCAATATATCCTATCAATAGCACTTCTTCGAGAGACAAAAGAAGCACGGTATAGGCCCCACATGACGTATGATCAACTGATACTTCCCAGCTGAATAATATCTCCAGGCGAACGATCCGATATGTTCTCTCAACTTTGGATTGGCATATGTGACTGATACCAACGCCAATATCAGGCATGTGGACGATGTGCAGAACATAACTTGTTCCGTTCCGGCAGATAGTTGTGCCAGAGTATCAAACCAGAATCTCTCATCTATTTTCTTCTGCAACTACGTTAGTACAAGACATCGGAATCAAATGTTATAGCCAAAAACTGAATGAAAAATTTACCAGGGGTCTACTGCGATTAATACCAAGTGTGGAACTTTGGTAGAGCCCGCCAAAAGCATTCAGAGCGCATGCAGGCTCCGCGACTTCTACGATTACGGATATATTGAACAGACCCTAACACAAGGCACTGTCGAGTATAAGTATACGATAGCTCTGGGTGGCGAATTCCCCAACTCGGCCTAGGTCTACCTTTTCTGCTGTTATGGTGCCTCAGCTTTGTCTACACGAACGAGTTTTTCCAGCGTGGATTGGCGGTTGACGGAAGGATGAACAGTTCATGTGTAGAGAGAATATTGATTTCACGAAATTTTTACTAAATTGTGGAGGACCTGGAATGATATATGCATTTTTCAACCCTTATGATCGAGCACTGCATGCATTTGCCCCTATTTAGCTTGTGTATACAGTATGGATGGAAGGATGATTTCATTTACCCTGACCCCTTGCTAAGGCGATATGCAGGCTACTGCCACTATTTATATCTTTTTGATAAATATTAATCCTGTACTATTTGTAGGCGACGATAGATGGGCAGTATATAAGCTTTGAGTTCGAGAGTGGATATGGCTACTGTACAAAAGGCGGAGAGAATATAAATAAGTACCATACACTGCACGGTGCGTAATTGTCTTAGGTGTGTCTTATCTCACAGTGGGTCGTGCCACACAGTTGACGCATATCCAACAACTAGTACAACACACTCTCTGTATAGCTGTCGCATCTGTTCAGGCCGAAGCTGCCGCAGCCCCCCAATCACCACACTGACCTTAGTAGCTCGCTTGATAGCCTGTTGCACCTGTTCCTTCCATTGTGGTTCATAGTCAAAAACGACGCCGAGAAACTGCAGTTGCTGATGGTTTGATGACACTGCTGTTTATAGTAATTTAACTTCGGCATTGTTCCCTTCTTTTTCTGGTGATGTGGATAAGTTCGGTCTTTTCGGCAGCGAAGCTCGACCCTGTTTTCCAAGCCCAAGCTTCAACGGATTGGAGTTTAGCCAAGCTCTCTTCCACAGATTTGGGTATACAATAGAATTAGAACTGGGCCTGACCAACATACACAGCACTAATGTTAAGGAATTCACTGCAGAGATACTAGTGTGATTAATCTATTGAGCGGGCCAAATTAAACTAATGGGACGAAGATAACCACCAAGAGACATCCATGCTTTCCGCAGCACGCTAGTCACATGATGATGGGGCTAGTACGTGCCCTTCTCTCCGCTCAGACAATCATATTTAAGCTGGACTGGCCAGTTTGTTGGATGCATTTTTTACATTCCCCCACAAGCTCCTTCTCTAGAAATCTTAGAGTAGGTGCTCCTTGAAGTCCTTTGTTTATCATCTATTGAATATTTGCAGTCTCTTTCTAATGAGTGCCAAGACCTCTTCTTTGTACTAGGATAGAGCGATTGATTGACCTATCGAGTACTACCCGACATTTAAGCTTGAGCTTTTAACGTTGTGAGAGATAGAGTTGGATTGATAGTGACCTAAATTTGAGTGGGTATTGTTCACCTTCTTATGTTACGGAGTGCTAATGCGTTTTGGGTTACAGATGAGCGATTTGACGAGAGTCAGTTGGCTCTATTGACGATCAAATGGCATCAATTTCTAGCAATGATATGAACAATACCCGCACTTTTCTTCATTACGATATTTTTGCCATAATTTGTCGGGAGCTGGTAAGGCAAAGAGATTGCGAAACTTGGCACCACTGTATCGAAGCAGGCGGTTCTCTTGCGATAGCTGCTCTTGAGAGTGCTGGTTTAGATGATTTTCAGGACATTATCTTCAAGGTCCAAAAGCCCAGCCAAGAAACTGCTCTCAAACTGTTTAATGTCTTATATGAAAGGCATAAACGAGGAAATGACGATAAACCCCTGGAATTTGAGTTCTGTAAAACGGCGAGCAAGTGGCTTACACTTTCCGTGAAATGCGAATTCAGACAGCTCATCGAAAGGATCGTCCTGATCCCTGGTATCGAAGAATTTTCGTTTTTGGGAGCTATAGCCAACGCAGCTGTTGTTGAGTGGGATGATCTTTTCCAAGAATGGCTCGAACGAGAGAACAACCTTATGCGCAACAATCTCCAGCGCTATCAATTTGCGTTCTCTCTCGCCCTAATTCTGCTCTACAAATCGCCATTGAAGCCTTACTTTTCCAAAATTATCTTGAATGAGATTCGGGCCAATCCCGCGGTGTCACGTTGCCCAAGGGCGACCACCATAAAGGCCATTATCAGACGTATACAAGAAACAACAGACAATGGCAAAATCGCCAGTGTCAGTGACCGGACAGCTCTCACAGTTGTAAGAGCCATCTTCCCTTCAATTGGAATACTTGGAATAACAGTTTAGAAGAACCTTAAAGCCGGCCATGTACAACTGCTACGCAAAACGAAATGTCTTTTGGAGTCTTACGATCGTCATTTTGGGGCGTATTTCTCTTTATACTAGGGTCCGAAGGTCGAACAGCCACTCAAGCGCGCAAATACCATAGCTTGAAGTTATACACATGTGTATACTATTCATAGAATTCCGTGTCTCAGGGGACCACCTTTAGCAGGCGTGTTGATTTGAATATGTAATGAGAAACAAGGCTCTATTGTTCATCGGTAAGACAATTCCCTAGATAACGACTTCTTCCCCTTTAATTTGTCCTTCGGGCACTGAGGCTGTCTACGAAGAGATCTATGAGACACTGTATGCTACTAATTTAGGCTTGTATGTTTGCTAAGCATTTCACAGCCACCTCTTCCATAGTGGTTTAATCCAGTGCTTCCATGATCCCGCCGAATTTATACTCTCTGCTGTTCAATATACAATACAGAAGTTTGGTCGTGGAGAATGACCGAGGCACTACATTGTTGAGAATGCGCATGACAGCTTCAAGACATAGCAGACTTGAACACAAGTGTTTCAGCAGTCAGACAAATTTATCTTCCTAACAACTGTCCACCACAGCGCATTAGTGTGAATTGAAGATCGGACCTGGTATAAAGGTTTCTCGGCGACCGCGGAATTCCGCCAAGCGAACGCTGACCGGGTGTACGGGACGGTGGCACATCTGACTGAGCCACGGCTGTCGTTACGTAACAGCTAATACGTTCACCATACATACGCTCTCGTGCTCGCAACTTTTACGTAGTCTGTGATAGTAATACCCGGAATTTACGGCTGATTTACAGTGACAAGTACCGAGGGTAATTTTGGTAGATTAAGAGATATCCTGTCACGTAATCAAGTAGCTTGATTTTTTGTTGATCATCTGTTGTTTGTATGTTGAGTCCCAAGTACAAACTTGCGCAATGGCCTTGACAGTAAGATTCTAGTCATCTGTGTTATGCCCCTACCAGCTGAATAGCCAGCAAAAGACTGCCAAGAGAGGCGGGCACCTTCTGAGAGTTGCCGACTATTACCCACAAGGTTCAAACAGCCCGTTCAGCCCCCAGTGGAAAATGTTTGAACCTGTGCTCTCACATTCAACCGGCATATCTTTATGGAGGGCCAGTATTAACTTCAGAAAGTTTTCTGATGGTCCGAACATTTTTTGTTGATTAAAAACCACTGGTAGCTTCATTGACCGCGTGTTTCAACCGTGCATTCCATTCGTTATCCGTGAAGTAATACGAGTTTCAATAGTCATTTAAGTCATCGACAGCCTTCTCCAGGAAACAATATCGTTTCTGATGCAATTTTCCCAGTTAAACCCTGTGTTTACTAGTCTGTCCGCAGTGCCTGAAAACAGAATTACCATGAACCTGATTCCTATTAGCATTATCTTTTTGCTCTGTTATGAGGCCGTTGGCACCGAGATTTCCAGGCATGTTCGTGATGCTGCATCTTCAGTGACTGAGCACGCTTGCGGTATCGTTCAAAGTAGCACGGAGTATACGCAGCTTACCATCTCTTTCGCCACGAATGGGACAGAGGTGCAAAGCTCATGGTCTACAGAGCTTACCACCGATTGTGTCACATTCCTGAATAGTGCCCTAGAGCCGTGTAAGTCTCCGATCAGGTTGCATGGTAGAGTAGGGTTTAATCCACACAGGCCAGGGCCCATCTGTTCTGTACTGCGGATCGCTCAACTTCGTCTTCGATCAATCTTCATCGGGGGTGACAGGAACCACGTACTCCGTTCAACCACTTTTATCCTCTGCGGGCGACCACAAAACTAGCTCTAGCTTCGAACACGCACAGGCTCCCCGCTCGAGTGACGCCACATCGTCCACACGAACATGGCCACAGGCAGTTTCTTCGACAATTAGCGCGGCGGAGGGGACGAAGCCAGTCTCAGTGGAATCAATCCAACATTCTCTCTCTTCAGAGGCAAGGTCTACGAATGACGCTCAATCGCTCCCCACCACGTGGTCTGAAAAGAATTCCCAATGGTCCAAAACTACCTCTCAATCAATCAACACCGAAACAACCCAAGTTATCTCATCGAATCGCCAAGTTACAACCCGTGCATTATCAACAGCAAATCCTTCGTCTTCATCCGCTTTGTCAACTTTGTGTGTTGTGAAGTAAGTCCAGTCAACACCTTCGTGGCATAGTCCACAAAGGGCGTGTTGTAGTAGAAGCGATCCTAACACGTCTAAATGCAGAGAAAGTGATTTAAGCCAAGGAATATGCTACTGTTTGGATCAGACCATCGTGGAATATTCAAGTTCGAGATGCACGGTTCTCGCTGACTGACTTGAAATGTGATTGATCTGCTCACGCAGCTCTTTAAACGTGCTATCAGGCAAACTTGTGTTAAGAGATAGGCCCAATGAGTAGATATATTCTAATTCTAGAAAATCCTGTGTTGATCGCGGTCTCTACGCATTTTATCGACTTAAACCTTGCTGTCAATCTATGTGATGTTACGGATCAGCTTTTGCACAGCTCTTAAAGGCTAGAGCTAGCGAGTAACTAGAGCTACCGAACAGATCTACACGCTAATCATAGATCAAAGGGTATTTGAATATGGCTTGTGAAAAGGGATACCTAGTCATCCTCGATCGGCTCCCTAGAGATTTTATTATTTAAACCGGCTCATTGGCACTTGCTTTCCTCGGTTTGCGTCACACATTTAAACCAGAATCGACTGGGTACAACCTTGAAGAGTCTATTTGCACTGTGGTAGCAATATCAATGACCAAGTGACGGCTTTTGTCAATCATTCTTCCGTGTTTCAAGTCAAAGATAACAGACAGTGAGTCATCCTTCGAGCTTAAACTATTCAAGGTTCTGAAATCGATCATCCAGTGTCTACAGCAGATCAGACGAAGGAAACCCTGCTAGAGAAACCAGACTCACGCGCTCATCCTACAAAAGAAACACGTGGGAATTCCCATTTAAAATTCAAAGACAAAATTGCAACAAGTTCTTCGAACACATTGAATGGGAAAAGGTCTCAGAACCACAATCACGCCGAGATTCAAAGGTGGTTACGACACAAGAGCTTTTATGATCGTGGATATGAGTTTGAAGATCTGACGGATCTGGCCGAACTCAACCCAACTGGCATCACCGATTCGAACTTACCAAAGTCCCGCAAGAGAGCTTATTCCTCTTCATCCACAGCTATTTCTGAGGCGCCTACTATACTTATTTCTGAAGAAACGCCAGGAAATTCGGTAAATGGCGAAAGAGATATAGTGCTACGCGCATCCAATATGTGCTCAAATACTACCGACACTGCGCGTTCGGGGAAGGGAATCTCACTTCCAATTCAGAACCTCCCGGTTCGAACTAAGGATGACTTGAAATCTCAGAAACGGTCAAAGATAGAAGATGTTTGTCCCCCATATTGACGCTTATTCGTCGGACTTGAGAAATAATGTCAATTGACTAGTGACTTTTGAACTCGTTTGTTATGGTGGGCTTCTAGAGCCTGTAGCGAAGCCATGATTCAGTTGTTGAAGTAAGATCCCCTGAAGATCAAACGCGCGGTTGTCAATTCAAATAACAGGGCTGAGATGTCAAAAGGACTTCAAATCATCATTGAAAGGCGAATAAGGAGAATATCACATAGACCTGAAGAAACAGAATATTCATCGATACCGTTCTCGTATCTTCAAGCGGAGTCATTATGCAGCTCTAGCATGATATTTACCCGATCCTTATGACGGTTGCGGGCCAAGCTTAACTTCCCGAGGCGGGCTGTTGCCCAATCGTACTCAAACGAACGGGGGTAATGGACTTCGCTCATCTATACCTGGAAAAGTCGAAAAGGGCTTATCTTCCTGGCTGACTGGTCGAAGCTAGTACGGATAACTATTTATTACTAGGGCCCGCCGTACTAATCCATCCAACACACTTTCCTTACGAAGCAGCATATTTGGCTTGCACACCATGGACAAAACTACATTTCCTCCCTGTAGTCAAAATACCAGGCACGTTCTGCGATCAAACGCACCGATCGTCTTCCCAACAGCTCCCAGCGCGAACCTGTGCTCCCTGGCTTTGCCTGATAGTCTCACGAGGGAATTATCAATCCATCTTGATACATACCATTCCGTGTTAAACGCAGGCTCTAGTATTGCTATTGGCCGCGGACAGTGCCTTTTTGGCACTCGTGTCGGCGAGATCATAGCAACTCTCTTCAAGACAAAGGAGCCGACGGTTGTCAGAGGACCTCAAATTAGCTGGACATCACTCATACTTGCAGCTGGCCCCAATTACGATGGTCCAAACCAGTTGACCATCGGTGATTCCGACCTTGATCTTTCCCAAGATGACCTTGACTTGATTAAGTCTGGTCGGCCATGGCGATTTCTTTCTCCATGGCCAGGAAAAGATGACTGCCAAAGGGAGCTGCGTGCGATCCACGTGACCCGCGAAGAACTCCGCGACACGAAGGAGAAAATAGAAAAAGGTCCGTTTAGAGCTCGGCAAGCTATTTTCGCTTACTAATAGAATGGAGTAGTCCTGCAAGATATGTCTGCGCTAGACCAAAAACTGTCAGTTTGGCACAATGTTGTCACCCAACTCCACAATACTGAGGAACGTGGGCCGCCGCAATCTGAATTAGGATTTCTTGATGGCTCTATTGGGATTGCGGACAATGTTGATGTCTCTGAAGACTCAGTTCGAGGAGAAAGTGGCCCAGGAGAATCTTGTTGTGATGGCTTGGATGGTGATCGAAAGCTGGATACCTACTCAACTGATCAAGTGATTTCATTGCAGCCGGCAAATCTTGATCAGCAAGATCTACCCAGTGTAGCATTCTCGGATGATAGCAGGAGCAGGAGAGAATCCGAGGATGAATCACAAGTGACTGATATCCGCGAACCTCCAAAGCATACCGAGCCTTTCATTCAATGCCTTAGCGAGTGAGTCTGTCCGCGCCACTAATATGCAAAAGTTTTACTGATAAAGAAGAAGTGTGTTGGATGATTCACAGTTCAAAAAAGCAATTTGCTGGTCCGAGGACGGTCGGTCCTTTACCATACCGGCAGCGGATGAATTTCCTCCAGAATTGCTTGCCAGATTCAATACACAGAGCTGTCAATCCTTGGTTCGAAGATTATATTACTTTGGCTTTCATGCATCTGGCGGGGTTTTTTGGCACGGGCAATTTGTTCGAGGTCAAGCCAGTACGATTTGTCCTTCCCGTCGTAGCAGCACTTCACCCATCCCTGTCACCAATACTCAACGAGGACCTCGGTATAAGATTATTAAGAAAAGCCGCAGAATCTATTGATGCTTCCGCTTATCGACGCACTTAATAGTGGTTTCATTGAAACCCATACTAAATGCAATTTAGGGGGGCCTATTTAAGTTCAATGGATGGGCAGGAATCTTCTGGAAGCAGGTGCAGTCATGTCCATCACCGTACTGATGGACCAAAAATGGCCCAGGCTTTAAATGTCTTCTAATGCACATTGAATCGATAAGGACTACACAGGTTCTGATGTCATTGCTATTAAAAGTTTTTACTTATGAAACCGACTGATTCAAAATGTTTAACGCTAGCTCAGATGATCAAAGACGCAGGACTGTCAAGTGTAAACTAATTTTGGGCGACTAGGATGAAGTTGCTTCTGTAGCTTGATTTACTTGCCTTCAAGCCACATGATTGTACTTCGCCGCCTTGAAATCTACTCAATTCCAACGACAACAATGAATGCGTCACGTACTAACAATGGTTTCCATTTCATGCGCGAGTAATGTAATCTCCCTCTTCATAAAGAACAAAAATGAGAAAAGCCTGCAAATTGATCAGCAAAACTAAGTGGCTGTGGCAGCGTGTCATGGGATATTTAAAGGGTAACTATATCTGCGCTTAGTACAATGATTAACACAAAGGCCCGTGCCCGGAGCACTGACTGCCGTCATGGTTGATGAACTCACTTCACAATCGCCCTGGTCGGAGGAATTTCTGCGTCTGACTACGATGCTTAATGGCAGGCCTGGATGATATTCCATATTTAGTTCGGGCAATGGTTTTAACAAAATGTTGTTCAGCGCAAAATGGAAAAAAATAATCATTTCTGAGGTCACCCGAAGTGGATATGTGCGTTGAACGGACGGGAATATCGCCACTCGAAGGCGCTGGCAATTCTTTCGGCCCGCTCCATCTTGGATTTTGTGTGGGGGCCAGGATTATGATGGGACATAAAAATTACTCTGCATTGCATTGAAGCACAAACTCAGTATCAACTAGGCCAGCTGACTTGAAAAACTGATCTAGTGCTGATGCTCAGTGATCCCCGATTAGTAACGTACCTTTCATGGTTGGAAAACGAGAGGCCAATCGATGTTGTTCAATAATCAGGCTTAGATAAGAGAGATCACGCGAGGCCATCACGACCATCTCGTCCATGGGAAAAGTAGGCCCATGCAAGATCTCTTCCAGGAAAGCGAAGAACGCTGTTGATTTCTTGCGCTGAGCTACTTCTGGTCTGGATTGTTCGACAACCCACTACATAGTAGACTAGCAACCGTAATGATAAATGCCATGTTACATCATTTTACGCCAAGTGCGGTACGATTTCCAGGCCGCCGCAGTTGCGTGATCTACTCAAAGAGTTGGCCTCAACCACTCAACCCATAGTTTTGCTCGTAAAACATATTCTGTGACCCGCTGTTTTCGTGCCACCGAGACCACTCCAATCATACGCGGAATTATGATGCCCTCTGATTGTATCTTGTATTGCGCAGACGAAACAAGACTTGCCAGCAGCAGAAATGGTCTTGTCATCTTTAGCTTGTCGACATAAGTCAAATGAGATCTGAAGACTATCTAGGAGTTACGAATGAAGGCGTACGACAGATTAAATCTTAGGTTTATGGTCTCAAGAACTGAGAACTCGGAAGCAATCAGACTACAGCCCCAAGTCCGGCGACTTGAGTCGTTAGGCGCAATACGGAAGGCTTGAGACGCAGCACTAGAGACGCCGGAATCTGTTCGTACGAGCGATGTGGTCGAGAGAGGGTAGTCGAAAGACTGGAATGGTCGAAAGACAGTCCCTGTACGACGAGCACAGTCGGAGGAACATCAGCTGTCGCTTTTCTCAGATGTACGACTCGAAAGCTCGTCAGAACGTAGTCTGATGCTTGCTGGAGTTCCGATGCCCGTTAATTCTCCTTTGCAAGAACAGCGGCGGCAGATTCCGCCATTTTCTTACGGACAATCAAGTCTTTTCCGAACCTCATAAAGACGGTGAAGGTTTTATCAAAAATTGCAGCATGCACACATTTCTGAACGGTGACTTTGAGCATGTCGCGATCATAGAAATGTGCACCATTCTCACGTGCATACTTGTCCGCGATACTTTGTGCCTCAATGGGATGGCTAGGACTCACAAATACTGAGTCTGTTGCGATCCAGACTTGCTGCTTGTAAAGATAGAACGTGATCTTAACACTTTGTCTAGCTCTCCTGTCGCTGGGAAGAGAAGGAGGATTAATTGGAGAGAGATGGTATTTGGCAGGCAATTGACGGTTCTTGTTGGAATTAACTTGATCACGTTCGATGTTGACGTTTTCGGGCACGGTTTTCTGGCTAGAGAGACGTAAGTCCGCTCGCTTCGACAGCCGTCTCTTGGCGTCATGGACTTGCTGACCATCACCGAGTTCGAGAGCCTGTGGCGTCTCAACCCGCTCGCAATCCTGTATACGCTTTCTTTTCAAGCTTTGCGGTGGTTGCGAGACATCAGGCGTATCATCAACCGCGGTTCTCGTCCTCTCCTGGACATCTTCTGTCCGCTGGTCTTCCAGCTCTGCTGCCGACTGCGGAGCATCAAACAATCTACCCTCGGCTTTCTGCCTATCAATGGCTTCTCGTTGAGCTTGTTCCGGACCTGGTACAACGAGTGTCGCTTGGGTGATATCTGTTTCAAGGTTTTGATTGAGATTCGGCGTGACTTCGTCATCCTCATTAGTCATTGAAGAACCCCATCCATCTTCCCATGATGAATCTTGTTGTGGGGTGAGATTAGCGGATGCCACGCTGTTTTCATCCACCTCGCATCCCTCTTCCCGTAATCTTCTCATCAGACTGGGTACATCCAAAGGAATTTCTGTCATAGGTCGGCCGGAATCGTCCAGAGTTCTGGATGTCTGTAGTTGAGCAAGCGCATTTGCTCGGTCTTGAGATACGCGTTCTTGCTGAAGAAGTATATTGATTTCTTCTTCAAGGTTCTCCCTCTCAATAGCTGCCTGTTCCTCTGGGAGAGTCTCCGGATGATAGACTAACTGTGACTCTGCAGAATGATGTTCCACTTCTTCTGATGCTCTATATTTTGTCTTTTCAGCCTCTGAGAATTTATCTTTTAGCGAGAGCTCCAGTTGTTCAAGTGGCCTTCGACCATACTCCGGGCCTATAGAAGTGGGCTCAACTGGCTTCACCGTAAGGCCGACTGGCTCCGACGGCTCTATTGACTCTCGTTCGATATCTTGTGACTCCTGTTCTGTAGCGTTATTTCGAGTGCCTTTTCGAGTTATTTTCAACTGTGCGGGACGCATTTGCTTCCAACTTTTTCTGTAAGCCTCGGAACTACTTGCTCGTACAATGTTGAATCGCGGCAAATTGTCAGTCTTCCAGTGTCTATATCGATTGCGTTTCGATTTCTTGATTTTTAGACTCTGAGGTAAAGCTTCTAACGTTGGCCTATCAGCCACATCAAGGACACCTGTCTGCTTTGAGGATAAAATATCGGATTCAGAAGCAGAAGATTCTGGGATCATTGTTGGAACTTGAGCCATATCCTCATGCTGAGTTTGTTCATCGGTACTTAAGGGATTAATTGGCGACTGCATTGGATGGTTTTCTGGTTCTCCCTCAAATAGGTCCTGCGCTTGCTGCTTGGGCTCCTTTGCTGAATCAGTCATAGGATCAATGACTATAGTAGTAGTAACTTGGTCTTGTTCTGGAGCCAAAACCAGAGCTCGCTGTGACAATCGATCTGCAACATCCGCATGTGTATTTGACTGATGTGTTTCCTGGCCTTTGTTTTCCTCGCTTGACGACATGGAGCCCGAATCGTGATCTGGATTTGCGCTCAGGTCTGAGCTTTTGGGATTGGTCAGTGCTATCCGCTGGTCGCGATCCATCGCCCGTCTTCTGAGAGCTTTTCCACTACTTCCTGAGTTCGAAATGTATGGATGCATCCTTGGATGGCTTTCCTTGGCCAAAAACTTGGATTTTATGGATCCTGATTTGGTGGGCAGTGTTGCTGGGGATGTAGCATAACCTTCCGTCGAATTGGTTAAGACGGGGGCCGGCAAGATCATGTCCACATCCACCGCACTTCCTCCCTCTTCCAGTACAGCGGGATGCTGGCTTATATCCGCGAAAGATTGCGGTAGCTCATTCTTGTCTATCTCGATTGGTCCTGGCTCGGTCACATTTCCGTTCTCCAAGCTTGACTGGGAGTTGACCAAATCCTGTAACATTGAATTATCATTGTCTGACTTTTCTTTCAATTGCTCCTCCCTCACGGTGATTGAATTTTCTCCCGCCTCAGATAAAGCCGGCAAGATCGAGGAGCCGAGCTTTTTTTCGAGTTCTGTTGAGTTCTGGTGGGTAGGGGCATAGCCTTCCGTCGAATTGGTTAAGACGGGGGCCGGCGAGACCATGTCCACATCTACCGCACGCCCTTCACCTACCTGTGCAGCAAGCTGCCGGCTTTCATTTGCCGAACCGAGCGGTTGCTCATGGCTGTCTTTCTCAAACCGTCTCAACCCTGTGACATTGTCATTTTCCAAGCTCTGATGGAAGTTGGCCAGGCTCGGTGAGGTGAGAATACCAGTGTCTGTAATATCCATTGATTGATCTGTGTCGACTTCCATACATTCTTGATCCGTAGCACGATTGTTTGGGACTTGCGCGACTGTCGACCTAGCCGTGTTCTCGAAATCGGTGCGGACTTGGTCGGTAAGGTCATAATCATCTGGATAATGCAGTGTTTCGTTCTCATCTATCTCAGTGACTGCCCGTTCGTAGTCTTCAGGGTGCGTGTCTTCTCTGACTGAGGACCATTGTCCGACTACCTGTGGTCTAGCTTCGGTTTCCAAATCTAATGTGTTTAAAGCATCAATGTTAATGGCGTCGGGAAAAGCAGATGTTCTTGCTCTAGAAATCTGCGCGGAACTCTCTTCGGATGGAGATGTTGAGCTCAACATCCTTTGCTGCTGCTGATGTTGTTGTTCAGGCCGTCTACTGTGCCTCTCCGACTGTCTCTGGTTTCGTTCTTCACCTGTACCCGACACTGGCGGGCGGTCACGAAATAGCGAATAACTAGAATCGCTAAAAGGAGTATCGTGGAACGATAATTGAGAGTGGTTGTCAAGTTCAGTGCTTGGAACGAACAAAGGAGAGTGTGCTTCGTGGGCTGATAGTGTACCGTGGGGAGGCTTGCCGAAAAAGGCATAGTACACAGACCTTCGTACTTCCATGGACGAGAGAATCCTTTGTTTGACGACTGGCGAATGAAGTTGATCTAAGAAAATGCCTGAGCATTCCAACGGCTGAATATCCGCTGGGGGCGCTCCACAACGTTCCCTCAGTGCGATCGCTTGTCCAGTACGTGACAGCGCTGGCGGTGTCTCTATTGGAACAGCACGTGCAAAGCAACGTACGATTTGCTTGCTAAGAGTTCGCAGATTCTCATCGCCATATGTGTAATTGGTCGACTTTCGAGCTCTAAGGAGAGCGTCTAACGCAATTTTCAAGTCGGGTGACTCTTTCAAGATAGCCATGATCTGCGGACTACGAAAGCCCAGCTTGCGTGCGAGGACAGCCATGTTAAAAATGACATGGTCGTCCGCCTTCGCTCGCCCTTTAGCCTGTGCTGTTCTAGACTTTTGGTCGCATCGTATCTCCCGAGGCATATTGGGGTAATGTCGCATTGCGTACATCCATAATTGTCGATATCCAAACATTAACCGTTCTTCTTTTGGCCCTGACTGCCGACGAAAATTATTCTCGGACGTCTGAATAAGGTATTCGTCTCCCGTTGATTGAGGCTGGAAACTGTTAATCAATGCACTTCGAACTGTTGGATATTTGCCATTCAGTTCAACTAGCCGTTCCACGCCGTCGGCACATAGTTTGAGGTAATTGATGTCGTGGAAAAATGTGGTTAAAGATGGTATCACACCTTCGCAGTCTTCATTCATCTGAAGATTCTCTAAGATAGCAGCACGCTCCGAGCGACTGAAGTTGGAGAAGACCTCGCCACTTAGAATTCTACCTTCCACGATCTTCTGATCAACATCAGACGCTCGTGGGGCGTACAACTGCAGTGTCTCAACCGTGTGAGTATCTATACGTGACATTTTATCGCTGTCGTGATCGACGAGTGCTGCCCAAAAGCTTTTGATGTGTGTTAGATAGTGAATGATTTCCTAGCCTAACGGTCAGCAAGGGTTCTATCAGATAGCAGTAATTGACTCTGACCTCATCACATTTCAAAGCCATGACACTGTTCATACTTCCGAGACTCAAGCCATTCCAAAGACCTGGTATTGCAAGTAGTTTGTTAAGGGCAGCGCATAGATGGCTGTTCTTCGTAGAGTTTAGCTGCTTGATCCGGCTAGCCTTGTTTTCCGAAAGACGCAACAGCCAGCGTTCTTGAGATAGAGCATTATTTTCCCGTTGGTAGTAGCGGTATTTCCGATATATCTCCCCGTCGGAGGGATGCTTTTCATCTCCATATTCGTCAGCCAGGGCGTTGCGCAATTCCAAGCTGATATCTAGCCGTCATCATCAGATAGGAAGGACGTCTTTTGTTGGAAGATACAAACCGTCTAGGTAAAGGTCAACAGTCCACCACCGGTCTGAGGGTGGTAGAGTCTCCGCCGCGGCTTTCAGTCGGTGTTTACCATGAATACATTGTAACCTCAGATTTGGAAAGGCAAGGAGAGGGGGGTTTTGTCGAGAAGATTTCAGTTGATCGGAGGTCACGCTGGCGGCTCGACACGCTCTGTCGAGGCAATGTTTGGGGATGATAGCTGTCACGTGGTTCCGTATGCGCAGTCTTCGGCAACCATTTTTGAGGAAGATCTGACTAAGTCGCTCCACGTTTTTTTGGTCGATTTCTTGGTCTCCCAACGAATCGATCGATATCTGGCTTAATTCGACCCGAGCAGTACCTTGATATTTAAGCTGCTGTTCTGCAGCTAGTTGCCGTTCCACTTGGCTGAATACTATTTCCTCCATATTATTTGACACAAAGATGGCTGTTCATTCCTCTATGGCTTGGATCGAGATTTCATGGTGGTGATATGTGACCGGTCCATTTACTCCTTATTAATGCGCTGAGCAGCCCGTTGTGAGAAGTACATGAGTCCACCTAGCTGCTACTAGACCACTCTGGTTCTGGAGAGAGCCATCAAATAACCAATATCTTAGGACGCAATAATCTTTATGGCATCTGGCACAGTTAGGTCTGACTAAAGGTCATTCTAAAGTTGCAGCCTAACGAAACAAAAGGTGGAAAAATAGTTTTTCATGTGATAGCTTTGAAGAAGCCTAAGAAGACTACATGTTGTTGAGTCATTTTTAAAGAGGTCTAAATTATCTCGGATGTCTTCGGTGATCAATCAGAAAAGAACCCCCAACAAGTATTGCATTGGTAATAATTGGAGTCTTGGAAACTTTGAACACGTCTCGACTCTTGTAATCGTGATGGTTGTGATGTTTATTTACGAGAAAGGCGTTGCTTTACCAGGCTCTGGCAAACGCCCTGTGGAATAAGCGGACCCGAAATCTATTCATCCACAACGTCACGATTATAGGCAAAAGGTTATTTCAGAAGTTATGCTGTGTATGATACACGTATACTCGCTTTGTTTCTGTCATGCAGATGTTTTTCCCACATCGTTCTCTTTGTGAATGAAATGCTCTTTGGCCCCTTTACGAAAATGTAATGCCTTTGTGCTGATAGCCTCACCGTTTCAATCAAGCCAGAAATTTCGATGCTCGCGGACTTTTCGTGGACTGCCACGCTTACGTAAAGAGTATTCGTATGACGTCTTAAAGGTTTCCTGCCCCTGCAATCTTTATCTTCTCCCCTTATGTTGCCTACCATAATTGACCACCAAGCTGTCATTTTAAACGCGTTCAAGCATAATACTCCCATGTGGAGTATTCAACTTGATTTATGCTAATTGTATTGAAGAGTACATATATATTGAGCAGGTTGATAAGATTGAGTAAACATAGATCCAGTTTGAATCACGATGTGCATTATAGTCCTGAATTCTCGCGTGAATGACAAGAACCAGACAATGGACAATTTCTAGACGCGGCATACACAAGGTACAATATTTCAGATTTTTCATTTCTGGATTATTGCACTTCTTTTGTGCTCAATTGATTGTTTCTGATGTTTTCATATGGCGAAAGAGGATAAACCAAAGTGTTATTTGATCTCTCCAATGCTGCCGACCCACCGAGCGACGTCACGAGCTACGTATGTATGTCAGCTCCACCAACTTATCTTATGTCACGTCAGATCGAAATACTTACTGTCGAAATCAAGCTGTCCTGGTCGTTCCTATCCCCAGATATTTCCCACCACATGCCACCGCCTAGTCGCTGCTCCATGATATACCTGGCCTTTCGTTCTATGATCTCAGGGGTATCATAGCTGACCATCATGTGGTCTTGCGAGCTATACGAATAGCTTGCCCCAATAGATCCCACTATTGTCACATTATCCCCACGTGGAGGAAGCGATTTGTAGTCAAACACGCCCTTCTCCCAGTCACCCGCAGGGACACCATTGAAGGCTTGACCAGGTCCATTCGTATTTGAGAATCCTCGACCATATAATGGCATGCCGAGCACAAGTTTGTAAGATGAAATGTTCGCACTGATGTAACCTTGGACGGCTTGATCGGTGTTAAATGGAGTAGCGGCAGGCAACTCAGTGGATTCGAAGATAGTAGCTGTATGACCGCTTAACGTGTCCCAGCTTCCTGCATAGTCATAGGCCATTATGTTCCAGAAATCGATGTAAGTATCCATATCCTTCTTTTTAAGAATGTTATATTTTGCTGGACCTGTAAACGAAACGGTCTCGTTAGTTCACAACTTCAAATCTGAAACAGTGGAGCGACTCATACTCGCTGATGCAGCCACCGTAAGAAGGAAACGATTCTTCAGAGGGTATGAATCCGCATAGTTGTCGAGTTCCTATTAGAGGTATTTGGGTTGGTTTAAATGCATAAATGTATTTCCAGGTCCTTACCTCTCGGACTCGTTTGAGTAACAAAACCATGTTTTCGGCCTCTGTTTCATTTGCTGGGTACTACAAAACCCACATAAGCATGTTGGGGCAATAAGGCACATGGCGGCTTACCTCCCAATCTATATCCAGTCCATCAAACCCCCAATTGGCCATCATTCTAACAGCTGAAATTGCGAAATTGTGCCTTCCTGACTCGCTTGTGCTCATCGTGCTAAAGCAGCCCGAGGTTGAGTATGTGTATCCTCCAATTGAGAGAGAAACCTTAAGGTTCCGGTATTGCTTCTTCAATTCAAACAGCTGATTGACACAGCCATAGATGTACTCATGATTCGTTCCGTTCTCTGGATCACCCTGCGAGGGCCAACGCTTTTCCGCATCTGCCCAGATGTCGGATGCAAAGACAGTGCCGTTTGGATGTACATTAGCAAATGCATAAAGAACATGAGTCAGATTTTCCGCAGGAAGCTGCCAAGGATAAAATTCCCGGCTGTAAATATCCTATTTGCTCATTAAATATGCTTGGAGGAACCTTGGGATCTAATAGACTTACCCAATTCGCGAAGTAAGCTACAGACTTGAAGTTCTGGCTCATTTGCACATTAGTGTGTCGATTGTCCAGGGCATGGTGACGATGAAGTTGATTGTGTGCGGCTGTCCAGCTGGCGGTTAGAAGAATGATGCATAATTCCAATGCCAGATGCATTCTGATCACTCTTAGAAGCTGATAGGCTTGAGAACATTAAATCATATAACTGGTGCTCATAGCATACGGGTCATGTGATAGATTATAGAGTGGTATGCGGTGTTGCACTATCAATATATGAATAGGACTTGAGACAATAAGACTCAAAGGTCTAGACAGAACAGAGTACAATTGTCTGAATCGTCTAGAGAGCTATTATCTAAAGTTCTTGGGATTAGATTCTTCTACAAAGCAAGGATAAGTTATTGATTTATATTATTATTCTGAAGCTCAACTACAGGCATTTTCTCCTTGGCCTTAGACCATACATTTTGTTGCAGAATAGATGGGCGCACGATTGATAATTTAGTCTCAACTGAGACGGTATCTAGGGCGACCATACCGGTGCGGGCTAACAATAAATTCTTTAGCCTGTCCAAAAAGTTGGATTTAGTATCGGTAAAAATCTGGTTAGGTAGAAATGATCTTTACCACTGAGCCGCCCTGAGTTCTATCGGATTTTGGAACTGCATTGTTTAAATTCGAGAGACCCAATGTATTACTACAAGTCATATATCTGGGCCCGCTTTTTCTGTCATGCGAAGGGATAGTTTTTTCTACCCATCTCAAATTCTCTGAACTCTTAACGGAATGGGCTCCATTGGCTATAAAAGTCTTTGGGTTCTCCTTCTTAGCGAGCGCAAATGGTCCGCAAGGCATCTGGCTGGTCCACGCTACTAAAGAATGGATATCTCCCTTATTTATTTTATTGTCGCAAGCATTGTTCTTGCTAGTCTAATCTTTAGGCGACTTCTAGCATTTTTGGCACAACCGAAGGGATTATTTTCGATACTCTATTTTCGCCACATCGTTCTACCGTATTTGGTTCGCAGGCATCGTTTTTGCGGTCCGTGGACCCGAGCCGAGTTCATTCTCCACTTACTTTATATTTGTGTCAATCTTTTTTTGGTATTTTTTAGAATGAAATCGTGGAACGACTCCGGCTCCCGAGCTGCAGAGCTTTGTCTGATTAACCTGATTTTCCCCCTCTCGGCAATACACCTGAGCTACCTGGCCGACATTCTGGGCATAAAGCTAAGCACCTGTCGGAGTATTCATCGCACTACTGGCTTGATGGCTTTAGCTCTGTTGTTATATCACGTCATCATGACGTTTCGTACTCAGGGGTTTACTTTCTCACCTCGTGAGGAGGCTAACCTCTTTGCAATTGCTGTAAGACTCAATTCGAGACTTGGTCCATTGAAACTAAAATTATAGGCTGCTATATCACTTGGTCTGCTCGTACTTATTCTGGTTGAAGGTGTTCGTCGGTGGGCTTACGAGATTTTCCTCCGTGGACACCAACTCTTGGCCGTTTTCTTCGTGTATAGCACCTGGCGCCATCTGACAACAAGTACTTTCTACAGAATATACCTCTTAATTGCATCAGCTATGTTTGGATCATTATTTTTTCTACAATTGATAACAGTTTCATATCGAAACGGTCTATTTGCGAGGCATGGTCCTCCCCGGGCCTTGGTATCGTTTAGCACCAAAATCGGTGAGAAAGATCAACTTGTGGTCACGGCCATTCATATCCGACTTTCTTTACCTCGGCCTATAAGAGTGGAGCCGGGCCAATATATCAATCTCTGGATGCCATCAGTCAGTTTATGGTCGTGGACGCAATCTCATCCTTTCACAGTCACCTCGTGGTCAAATGATGCACAGAATAATCTGGAGCTATTGGTACAACCTTGTGGTGGTTTGACTACTAAACTTAGTCGCTATGCCTCAAAGGCTATGGGAGGTTCGTTATCTTTCCTGGCACTGTTCACAGGTCCCCATGGATTGAGTGAGGATGTCCATGGGTATGAAACAGTCCTGGTGCTTGCTAGTGGATTCGGGATTGCAACGGCAATACCGAACCTGAAGAAAATGATTCATGGTTATAAGACCAGCACATCTCAAGTTCGGCGACTACATTTAGTGTGGCAGGTAGAATCAGGCGAAGCTATTAACACAGCTCGGGCTCTATTGAACGACCTTCTAGGGGAAGATATCATAGACAGAAAGAAAGAAATCGATCTCAAGGAGGATACTATGAATAACGGATATGTCAGTGCGACCTTGCATCAGTTTGCAGCACAAGACTGACATGGAACACCTTTCTAGAGACTGCATATCTCTATATATGTTCAGGATACTCAATCACATGAATTTCCACTTGGACAACATGGACGTGTCCATTTTTACCATGACATTCCTGACTACCGTGACATAGTCTCGCTCGAGGCATCCGGCGACTTGATCAAGCGACTATCTAACACATGGGACGAGCCAGGTCGCACATTAGTAATGGGTAAAACATCCTTTCTTTCTTATGATATATATGCTGACCGTCCTGGCTAGTTTCCACAACAAGCAGCCTTCGGGATCATATACGGAAAATTATCCAAGAGAAAATATACAGAAACGTGAAGCTTTCGGAACAGGAGTATCAACCCGGTGCAGAAGGCGGATTGACCTGTGGCACTTGCAGGGATTAAAACCGCAAATGGACGAGCTTAAAGAAACCTACGGCAACGATAGGTTCTCAGATCAGAAAGAGCCTACGGATATCGTTCGATACTTGTTAATTGGAATTCAAAATGACCCTCGGAGTTTAGAATAGCAAGAGCTATGACAGACTAGCTCCTTCAGTAGCGCTATCGCGCCCTCCCCATATAGCTACTACACTGTAGCGATATAAAGGTGAGACGACTCTTACGATATTGCAATATGTTTCGCGGATAAGGTTCAAGAATTCTTTGCTTTGAGGCATTTTTAACCATCATTCAATAAACCCTGGCAAATATAGACCGACAGGGGTTTCGTTGGTCATTCCTTGCAAGAGACACGCGAGAGTCGCGATAGCATTGCACGAAACCACAAATTGAGTATAACCAAGTTGTTTTGCCTTCAAAATCAGGGGAACGTCTGAATGCTCATCCTGTTAGTTTACAAATTAAGACAATTTAGCTTTGAAGCAGCTGTATTTTCATACTTACAAAAGCCTCGTTTTGTGATACAACATGCAATTTATTATTCAATTGTCAAGGGTCAGTTTGTGAATCAAAAAGTAGAAAAAAAGGAGAATGGTAATGGTGTTTTGTGCTAAATATAATGGTGCGTGCTCAATCTCACTCACACATGCCGTGAGACTATTCATTATCATGCGATGACTGACTATTGGTAATCTTGAACTGAGAGTTTCTCTCCACTGTGATATATATCAATACGTTTGTTGTATTACCTGAGATATTCTTTCAAAATCCAAGTCTTTGTGGTATAAAAAGCAAGACGTGTAAGCGTAAGCAGAGAATCTTTGGAGCACTGATGTTTCTTGAAAAGAGAAAGCTAAAAATGAATCAGTGATCCAAGAGTTCTTTCAATTTTGCCATTAGACTCACTCTCTTTAAGTCTTGAACATTGACCACCGATGCTGTTGCCGACAAGAATTCCAAAGCCTCCGACTGCCAGTGTAGATTGTCGATGCCAATCACCTTACCAGGCTTAAGGTACTTCTGCATGAGAAGCATCGTGATATCAGCAATGGATCGAATGCTTTGGGTATGAGATTGGTTCAATTGCCGTCTGGTGCAGTGTTCCAGAGCCGCTATCCCTTAGCGTAAGCAGAGCCCTTCGAGAATTTGGACATTGTATGTTTCCGTACCTATCTGAATTGCGCCATCCTGGCCAATAAGAATATTGGAACAGGTCAAAGCGGCGTGTTCAAACCCTTGATCCAGTAGGTAAGATAGGCCATCAAGTATCTGCAGTAGTCAGCACTATTCTTGGCTCAAAATCTAAGATGATCACACCTGTCTCAGTATAGAAGCCAACTGAAGCTCAGAGGGGAGGATGTTACAGGCTACTAGGTTTTCCAAAGTTAAGGGATAGTCATCGACAACGAAGTACGTCAATCCATGATCACGAAAGATTTCATTGGCGTAAACAATGTTAGGGTGGTACGTGCAACGAAGTACATCTATCCATAAGTCCGCTTTGTGCTTCGAAAATTCTCTGATATGAATGATCTTAGACGGATTCTTGATATTCTCAGCGACAATGGTGGGCCCAGCTAATTCACAAGTGAAGCGCTCCTTAAATTTGATCCAAGGAGATCCCCACGTAGTAGCAGGCAGACGGCTGATCTGAGGCTGGTTTTGGATGCTTGGACTAGAGCCAATTTGACTTGGCGTGACTTTTGATTTCTTGCGGTCTTGGTTTGGCTCACGGGCTGTAGTTGGTTGCGGATGAGCCTTGAAAGGGTCAATCTGTGTGACTGGTCTGACCATGTTCTTGAGGGTAAAATATGCACAGAAGTAGGATAAATCAGAGCAAGCGAATGTGATACTTGATAGGATGTGTTTAAGGGGGCTGGAAGTGGCATGTAGGTGTGGATTTAATGCAAAATACTTGGTATCGGTGAAGGCTGTGGAGCACTTTCATGTGCTGTATTTAGATGAGGAAAATTCTCTAATTTGAATTATCATTCGGCTGGCAAGAATATATATAAGTACACGAAATTGGTCAGGAATTTCCGGGTTGAATTAATGCTGAATGGTCACAGTATTAGGTAATCATGATATCGATTAAGATGGCTGTAGAATTCTGAATGAATAGGGTAGAGAAAGCCTGGCATTATTAGTTATATGGCTGTGAGCCCATCAATAAATGATGGAAAATACAGCGAGAAAAGGATTAGTTGTACAAGACAACAGAAGAATTATGGAGGTACAATACTTTGTCGTGGCTGAATTTGTCATTACAGGGTCATAACTAATGTTACCTGACTAAGAACTTGGACAAACTGTATTTCGGTGTTAGGTAGGAGGGAGAAACATTTTTTTGCGTACATAACATGACATCAAAAATGAAGAAAGATCTTGCACCTGTATATGGTCACTTTCAGTTGTACGAGAAGATCTTCGGTAGGCATCAGAAAACTATCGAGATTGGGCATTGTCTTTCCCAGACAGTGGCGTTGAACCAACAGTGATGGAAGAGAAGATTACACATGGAACTATGGTCAGCGTGGTAGCGAAGGTGATCCATGTTGGAAGGCAGCTGGACACAATCGATCAACCGTGTGACACTATCAACCGACGTGTTCAACTGATCGGTTGCTGAGCAGCAGCTGAACAGAAGGATACAATCAGAGGATGTTGATTAAAAGTGCTGCTTCAATTGACGACCACGGCATGGCCTGGAACGCACTGGCGCAGTATAGTGCGGCGCTAGTTAAGTCTCGACCCATGGGACAGAGTGAATACTGGTAGAGTGGACTGGGAGATGAAAGAAAAAGGTAATGGGTTGAACAACATAGCCAGCAAGCACACCGGGGGGAGAGAGCAACACGTTCAGCAGATGGAGTTGATCAAGGCCAACGCCCAGGCAAGGAATTATTTGGGATGCAACAACCTACGGCACGAGAAGATGAACGCAGCGGGAAATGAGGAGGCTGGAAGTCCCCACTCGGGACGATGAGTGGGGCTTGCAGGTGGTCGAGCGGGAAATTGGAGCACGTGACGCCGTCGAGGTGGGATACTTAAAGCCTCAAAGATCCCGGCCAAATTCTGAAGGGCAGGAGAGTTCCTTTCCTCGCTCGGCTGTCGCCTTCTTCATTGGGGGCCTGTCGAACCGTGGCTGTCGCCTTCTTAA